TTACTTTGGGACAAACAAAACAATCAACCACAGTCTTTAAACTAGGGGAAGCACTCATTGAGGGGCGGATGGGTGCTGCTGCTAAAATCAGTCCCACTGCACATTCAAGAAAGAACAGAAAACGGCTCTTTCACAACAAATCAGCCAGTGTGAAGTTACCCAAAGGCCTAGTTGGAGCTAAGTACACTGCTGAAGTACTGATTAACGGACAGGCTTGTAATTGCCTTCTCGATACCGGGTCACAGGTGACAACTGTATCACAGTCGTTTTATGACAGTTATCTCTCACATTTGGAGATCCATTCCATACATGACCTTCTTGAAGTTGAAGCTGCAAATGGTCAGAATATTCCATATTCAGGCTATATATGTGTTGACATCGCCTTCCCAAAGGACAGTTTTGGACACGAACTAACCGTGTCCTCTCTTGCATTGGTTGTTCCAAACACGCGCTCCAGTACCCAAACTTCTCTCTTGATTGGTACTAATACGCTTGACCTTTTCTTTGAAAGTTTTTCTCTTGCTAAAACAGATTCCAGCGCCTTTCCCTATAGTTACAGGGTGGTGCTGAGGGTGTTACAAAAAAGATACAGGCAGAAAGAGACCAGCAATCTTGGTCTTGTCAGACTGTCCGGAAATGGGCCTGAGACCATTCCTGCAGGCCAAAGTAAAGTCTTGGAAGGGTCAGTTCATGTGAACATTGATACACCAGATAAGTGGGTTGTAGTTGAGTCCCCCAATACATCCTCCTTACCAGGAGGTGTTTTGGTCACTAACTGTTTACTTACACTTCCTGAGAAACTATCACAAAAGCTCCCTGTTGTCCTGCGAAATGAAAGTAAACATGACATAGTTATTCCTGGAAACAGTGTAATCGCTGAAATTCATGCCATGCAAGAGATCTTATCACATCCCCTTATCTCTGATGAGTCAAAGCAAACTCCTAGTTCACAGCCTGCTGAGCTTAATTTAAACTTTGGAGATTCCCCAGTCCCCGCTGAATGGAAAGAGCGAATTAAGCAGAAGTTGAATGCTATGCCAGAGGTTTTCGCACAGCATGATACTGATTTTGGGTGTACTAGTAAAGTAAAGCATCGGATTAAACTGAGCGATGAGACCCCTTTTAAACATAGGCCTCGCCCAATACGACCGCAAGACGTAGACGCTGTTCGTCTTCATTTGCAGGAACTATTACAGGCAGGGGTAATCCGCGAATCTGAGTCAGCCTTCTCCTCACCCATCGTGGTGGTAAGGAAGAAAAATGGAGATGTGCAACTTTGTGTCGATTATCGGAAGCTAAATCAGAGCACGATCAAAGATGCTTACGCACTTCCTAATCTGGAAGAAACTTTTTCAGACCTTACTGGGTCGAAATGGTTTTCGGTCCTTGACCTCAAAAGTGGTTACTACCAGGTTGAAGTCGAGGAGGAAGATAAGCACAAGACAGCTTTTGTATGCCCACTGGGATTTTTCGAGTTCAACCGTATGCCGCAGGGTGTAACTAACGCCCCCAGTACCTTTCAGCGTCTGATGGAGAGATGTATGGGTGACATAAACCTTAAGGAAGTCTTGGTTTTCCTGGATGACCTTATAGTTTTTTCTGAAACCCTCGAAGAACATGAAACACGTCTTCTTAATGTGCTCAGTCGTCTCCAAGAATATGGTCTAAAACTGTCACTTGAGAAGTGTAGGTTTGTTCAGACATCTGTGAGGTATTTGGGACACATAGTCTCTCAGCGCGGCATTAAAAGGGACCCCGAAAAAGTTGCTGCTTTAACAACTTGGCCAAGTCCTACAAACCTAAAAGAACTTCGCTCCTTCTTAGGTTTTGCAGGTTATTATAGGCGGTTTATTAAAGATTTTTCTAAAATCGTCAAACCCCTTACCAATTTAACTGCAGGGTATCCGCCTCTGCGTAAGAAAAGTGGCTGTAAGCTAACCAGTGACCAGTATTTTCAGCCCAAAGTTCCTTTTGGGGAGAGATGGACAGACAGCTGTCAACAAGCATTTGAAACGATAATACACAAATTAACTACTGCCCCGGTGTTGGGCTTTGCCAATCCCAAGTTGCAGTATGTATTACATACAGATGCTAGTACAACTGGACTGGGGGCAGCCCTGTATCAGGAGCAAGAGGGAGAGATGCGTGTTATCGCATACGCGAGCAGAGGTTTATCGAGAAGTGAAAGCCGGTACCCCGCTCACAAACTTGAGTTTCTTGCCCTCAAATGGGCAGTAACAGAAAAGTTTTGTGACTACTTGTATGGCAGTCCTTTCACAGTGATAACCGACAGCAACCCTCTAACTTATATTTTGACCACTGCCAAGTTAGATGCAACAAGTTACCGCTGGTTGTCTGCTTTATCATCATTTGAGTTCCAGCTACGGTACAGAGCTGGAAAACAGAATGCAGATGCAGATGGGTTATCTCGTCGTCCACATCCTGAGCCAGTAAATGATCTCGTCTCTCTGAAAGAACAGGAACGAATCCGTCAATTTGTACAACATCACTTACCTGGCACAGATCCTTTCATTCATGTTCCTGCTCATGCTGTAAATGCGATTTGTGAAAAACATCTAGTGTTTCAGTCTTTCAATGCAGATCATTATGATCTTACCTGCCCCCTTGTAACATCTCTGTCTATGACTGCTCAGGCAGTCCCTGACAGTTTTGATGAGTGCAGCGGTTTTTCTGTCATTCCAAGCATGTCAGAAGATGAATTGAGTCACAGTCAAAGGAGCGATCCTGCTATCAACGAAATTATACACCAGCTGGAAACAGGTGAAACACCTTCTCCTGTAGTACGAAAAGAAATTCCAGAACTTCCCATCCTTCTGCGTGAGCTGAATAAGCTTGAGCTGAAGAATGGGGTTTTGTACAGAAAAAGGCAAGTAGGTGAAGAAATACAGTATCAACTTATTCTCCCTGAAAGCCTAAGATCTATGGTTTTGAAAAGCCTCCACGATGACATGGGTCATCTTGGCTTTGACAGAACCCTCGACTTAGTTCGAAACAGATTTTTCTGGCCAAAGATGGCCTTAGATATTGAACAAAAGATCAAGACCTGTAGCCGGTGTGTTTGTAGAAAGAGTCTGCCAGAGAATGCAGCACCTCTGGTAAACATTCAAGTAACCAGACCTCTCGAGTTACTGTGTATTGACTTTTTGACGATCGAACCAGATTCCAGCAATACTAAAGATGTCCTTGTCATCACTGATTTCTTTACGAAGTATGCTGTAGCAATTCCTACACCGAACCAGAAGGCTTGTAGCGTAGCCAAAGCCCTGTGGGAAAATTTTATCATCCACTATGGCTTCCCAGAAAAGTTGCACAGCGATCAAGGTGCAGACTTTGAATCGAAAACTATCAAAGAGCTGTGTAACCTAGCTGGAATACAGAAAGTCAGAACATCGCCATATCACCCCAGGGGAAACCCAGTAGAGAGGTTTAATAGAACTCTATTAAACATGCTGGGTACACTCACTGACGAGAACAAAAAACATTGGCGTCATTTTGTGAAGCCCCTTGTACATGCGTACAACTGTACCAAACATGAAAGTACGGCGTTTACACCATATGAGTAAATGTTTGGTAGGCAGCCTAGACTGCCTATAGACCTTGTTTTTAACGTCACTCTGAACCATCGCCAGCAACAGTCCCACTCGCAGTATGTCCAAGCCCTCAAATCTCACCTTCGAGAGAGTTACCAACTGGCTAGTAAAAACGCTGCTAAAGTGGCTGAACGGAATAAAATCAGATATGACCGACATGTAACCGAATCAGTTTTGGATGTTGGTGATCGTGTGTTGGTAAAGAACGTTAGGATAAGGGGTAAACACAAGTTATCAGACAGGTGGGAATCTGTTGTGCATGTGGTTGTAAGTCAAAAAGATAACTTACCTGTGTATATACAGTTAAACCTGAGAACCAGGATGGTCCAACCAGAACTCTCCACAGAGACCTTTTGTTGCCCTGCGGGTTCTTACCAGCTATCCCTGAAAATCCTGCTGCAGTGCAAGAAAAACCCAGCCGGCCAAAAACACGCCAACACCACGTTACTGATCATGACAAACCTGAACTCGAGTACAACTCAGAGGAGGAAGACAACTACCCTTTATATAACACGCGAGGCCCTCTCCAAGAGATTTCTAGGGTGGTTGAGGAATATAACATAGTCTTTCCTTCAAAAACCTTGTCAAAACCTGTGGTTGAGCTTTCTAAATTGGGAAATACTTGTGTCACAGAACATGATACAGTGCCTGATATTGTTCCCACGCCTAACAATATGAAGGAAATAGATCACTTTCCTGAAGAAGGCAACTCAGTTGTAATACAACCAGAACCAGAAACTCACCTTGATGAGATGGACAATGCCTCCGACCTTAGCCAAGCAAACGCTGTGGAAATGACTCAGGCTGAAGTAAATGAGACTGAACCTATGACCAATGATGACAAAGAACGTGACCTTGAGACAGAACAAGCTGCTAAAAGACCTTCTCGACAGAAAACCAAGCCAAAAATTTTAACATATCCTAAATTAGGAAACCCTCTTGTCAGTGTAGTTCAATCTCTGTTCCAAAGTTTAAGTGAAGCTGTCACAGGTTCTATTGAAATCCCTGAGATACAGTTAGTCTGACTTGGGTATTATGCAAAGGGACTTGCATAGATTTAAGTGGGGAGGGTGTAACCCAGGAAAACATAGCCCTCATTAAACATAAACCTTTTCATAAAAATAGCTATAAAATGCTCAAATACGAAATAAATAAATAGGAAATAAATAGGCTTTAAAATAGTTAAAAATATTAATAATAATAATTACAGATATTATAAATGGTGTATTTCATTTTATATTTTATTTTGTTTAAAACTGTATAAAAGAGATTTATTTTGCCAGCAGCTAAATGGTTAAATCTGAGAAAAACGTCTTACTCTGAAGGGTCACATTGATTTGTGGCCCATGTGACAAGCTCCAGCCAATTGGGTCGCTATGTTCTCTGGCGCTAGCAGAGAAAGCAAGGGAGAAGAATAGAGAGAACGAAGAAGCTAATGGAGTTGTGCTGGTAAAGAGAGACAATAAGAGAAAATTGACCATTGAAAAGACTACCTGCTGTCTGGAATATTTTTCACGTTTTTGGAGGAGGAGCTTTCCACATATATTTTTTTTTCCCTGACCGAATTCGGGAGTGTTTTATGTTACAGAACTGGACTTGGTGAGTTAAAAAGTGTATTTTATTTTCTGTGAAGAATTTTTTTTGTAAGACAATTGTATTTCATTGAAATGTGAAGCTAAAGTAGTGCATTTATGTTTTTTATGTTAGAAAAAAAAACCTTGGAATTAATATATGGACTGGTGTGGGTGAAGCATTTCCCCCACACACACAATGTTCAGCAGCCAAATCGACGTAAATATTACTTTATTTAGTAGAAAGCAAAGTTAAAAAGAACTTTTGTATGCTTTGTTGGTTATTTAACCAGGCCTTTAAGTTTCTGCTGGAGATTGGACCGAGAAAGTCGATTGCTGAATTGGATTCCACTATTGAGAAACAAGATGGCGAGCCGTAACCCAGGAGCCCTGTAACCGCCGTCTAGCAGGAGGTACGCCCTCTGCTGGACATTTCAAATCATCCAAACTGGTATGACCTGCCCATTTTTTCCTGCTAAAAAACAGCAGTGGATTCAGAATTAACCCTTCAGGATCAACAGAGAGAAAAGACATTGATTGAAGCACAAGTTATCCAGTCTTTTGCTGGATTTGGTTCTTTTGTGTGTTATTGATTTTCTTTCTGGATCATTTTCAGTATTCATTGTAATTGTGTGGTATGTAAATTGTCTGTTGGGTTATAATAGAAAAAAGAAATAGTTAAAACAGGAAATTAAAACCCCTTAACTTCCTAGAAAGAACTCTAAATAACTAAATTTGATTAAAAAAGAGATTAAATTTGAACAAACTATAAATAAAATAGTTAATCGTACCAATCTTGAACTTAAATAGAACTATAACCTAGGTTAAAATAAATAGTATCCTTAATACCTAAAATTAGGTGTAAATGTGAAACAGGGGTCAAACCGATTATTCTGAAAGAAACAGGGAAACTATTTTGATTGAATTTTGTGTCATTGTATGTGTATTGTTTGTAATATTGTTCTTTTCAAATAATAAGCCGGCAGTTTAATCATATTTTCTGGTCTGTGGTCATTAATACACTTACATATTTCTCTACTTTCATAGCCGAACCTAGCACTGGTCTTATTATCTGTTTTATCAACTGTAAACTCATCGTGAGTGTTACACTTGCACCTACAAAAATAAATTTGGAATTTCTTTTTATACATGCAAAAGTATCTAGCTACAATAATGGTAAAAAAAATATCAGCACATCATAGATTCCGCATGTTAAAAAAGCAAAGTGCAGGAAGTCATTGAAAGACATCCTTAAGGAGGATGTAAAAGCAAACAACCAACCTTCTCTGGACTGTTTAGTGGAAGTTACCAAAGCCTAGGACTCCACCAAAGACCAGCACTCCCCTTATCAATGAACAAAAAAATGAAACTTAAACTTTCAGTCATTTGAGTTCTTCAAAAATAGTTGCAGACTGTGCTGAATGACATGGAAAACAAATACACACTTATCAGCTTACATTGAAACATTGAGAAAACAGAAAATAGTCAAATCATGTATATTTAGAACATAGATGGTTAAACAAAAGGGCTGCACGGAGTACCAGTGGGTAGCACTGCTACCTTGCAGCAACAAGGTTCTGGGATCGATTCCTGGTCTGTGAGCTTTCTACATGCAGTTTGCATGTTCTCCCCATGCACGCGTGGGTTCTCTCTAGGTACTCCAGCTTCCTCACACAGTCCAAAAACATGACTGTTAGGTTAACTGGCTTCTCTAAATTGTCCTTAGGTGTGAGTGTGTGTGCAAGGTTCTGTGTCTGTGATGATCTGTGACTGACTGGAGATCTGTCCAGGGTGTACCCCACCTCGCGCCTGTTGACTGCCAGAGATAGCCACCTAACTCACCGCCACCCTGATAAAGACTAAGCGGGAGAAGATGGATGTATAGTTAAACAATAGTGACATGGAACAATTTATCTGCTTAGAATTAGTTTATTTAGAGCAAATTTGATCATTTAGGTTACTGACTCTAAATAAAATAAAATTCATAAAGTAGAATTCTGTTGATTGACCTCCTAAAACTACTACCTACATTTATTTTCAGCAAACCATATCAATTTAATAATGATTCTCAGAAAAGTTTGCGTTTGAATAATTTTAGGGTGGGCAGTACACAGAGCGCCACTGCATGCTCACATCTGAGCTATAGAAATGTCTTCTCATTAAGTCTAATCAGTGAGGGAGAGGCTACAGAGATGCACTTGAATAAAAGACGTCCTTCAAAGTTTCTTATGTTAAATCTCAAAATGGAAGGGAAATAATGAAGCAGTTAAACAACTAACCCGACATTTTTTGTTATCATAAAAAGGCATTTTTCTTAACAGTCATGATGAAGACATGCCCTTGAAGTACTGTTTTGGAAAAAATGGAGCTGCCTTCTACAGGGTTTTTCATTGCAATCTTGCATAATTTTTCTTGCCAGAAGGTGACAACAACTTATGCTTTACATATTTCTTTTTTCACATTCTGCTCATCATCACCAAAAGAAATGTGGTTTTGTGACTTCAATAAATAGCTTGCAGCAGTGATTTTGGTTTGATCAGGGATTTTAATCTCCCAAACAGTATTAATGAAGGCTCAATTTCTTAAGAATCAATTACTATACAGGGATCAGAACAAAAATCAATGAAACCAGAGTAATGCAAACCACCCAGAAAAAAGTATACAAATACATTGGGTTGTGTGAAATTTAAATTATTTATGATTATTTATCAACGCAATTAAGCAGAAAATACTGAACTACAATTATAAATACTTGGCATACTTGGGTATGAAAGGGTTTGTTTACAGGGCCAAAATTGATGTAGAAAGAACCAATTCGACAACATGATGCTAGTTTAATAGGGGTAGTATAGATAATAATAATTTTTCTTTTATATTTAGAATTCATAGCAGCCTTTGCTGACCAAGAAAACAAAACCAACTTTGAAAGCAAGGAAAATCGCATGTTCAGGTAGCTCAGACTGTGTAATGATACTGATTAGATCATATAAGACAAAATGAAATGCCTATTAAAGGCATTATGGGGAAAACACAGAATTGTTCCATTCAAAAATGACACAAATATATAGAAATCAGCATGTATTTGTAAGTTCATACCATTCTGAGAGTAAGTGCTGAGAATTGAGAAATGCAGTGATGCATTTAGTATGGTAAATGGTAGTGTACAAACAAAGTACTTTGGTCATTAAATTCCATTAGTAGAATCAGCACTTTTTTGCTGCCTCCATTATACATGAAGGCTTATTGACAGCTATGCTGCAAAACCTCCTCTGTGTGATCATAAAGTACCATGGCTATGCCAAAGTGTTTTCCATTCTACTAGTTGCATTCCCTGTAATGTACTAAAGGGCTATTACGAATAGGAATACCAACTTGTACAGACTGGAGTCTTGATAAAAGACTCTGTGGCTCATCCAGAGGATCAGAGGGCATTCCCAAGAACTCACTTTACCAAAGATGTGAACTTCAGCATCTATTAAATATATATATATGCGCACACATTCAAAAACACTGCCTAGAAAGAACAACTCATCCACTTTCTAAAATTCAGTGCATTTTCTTATTTCATGTTGACTTAATTTAGGTCGACCTAATGAACTTCCTGAAGCAAAACATTTATTGTTAAAAATCCTTTTTTTTGGGTGAGTTTGCGCCTAATAGTACAAGCTGAATGTCATGCTCTCCTTGGACAGATCAACCCAAGTAATTAGATATCAGACACCTGGGGAAAGGCTCTAACCACTGATCACTTGCTGTCAGACTCTCTGGAGGGCACAAAAATACAATTGAGAAACATTGTTGATCACATTGCAAAGAATTCACGGAACTATGAGCTAAATCATGGCTGGGGCTAAGGACATGTGCTCTGTCAGGGCTGAGGAGAGAGGTTCATTCTTCTGAGTCATTCTGTCTTTCTTCTCTTTCAGCCATTATATTATCTGCATGTCAGCTTGATAAGACGTCCCTCAAGCCAATAAAACCCTCTGCTCAATGCAATTGCTGCACTTGTCACATCCTCACTGACTAAAAATTGCGTGCCTTGCTCAAGGTCACAGACACTGGTTTTCACTCAGGGGTGCAAGGAGCCAGACGTGCGACTCCCTCTCTTCACATGTCTGTGTCTCTGCTTGGTTTCTAATTGCCTCTGTGAGAGGCTGTGGCCTGTGGGGGACACTGGGACAGCCAAAAAGCATTTTGTATTCCCCTGTAAAAGTCATTCAACACACAATCAGCAATGGTAAACATGCAGTTTACCCACAGTGGGAGTGTTACTGGCAATCATTTCATTAGTTGATCATTTGCATCTGACCAAGAGGGATACCATTAAACCCCAGGCAAATATAAAACAAATACATACATATTGTTTACAAAGATAGGATGAATAATAGTATCTACATTGATTCAAATAATAATAAAGCTCAAAAATAGTGCTTACGTAGCAGAATTGCATTACATAGCTCCATTGACATCCTCCTATTATTTATGACATTAAACAGACAATATTTGCATGTGTTCCCTCTAAGGATTTTGCTCAGAATGAATGAGTATTAAACAACATAAATTGGATTTTTCTATGTGGGACCAACTTGAGTCAAACAATTATGATCTGTAAAGGAAAAAGCAGTCTTGCAAAAACTATCTATGCTCCTTTAATCTTTTGATATTTTATCACATTATATCTAGAGATTTTGGCATTTTACTATGATAAGGGATTCAGGTTATCTATTAATGAATCAGTCTAAAGTTGATTGATCGTATCCATTGACTAATGATTAGTTGATAAGATAATTACTCTCCCTATCCGTTATTTCTCTGTATTTTTCTTAAGGAAATTGAGTTTTCTCCTGTATAAAGAGGATCCTACCATAACATGAAGATACATACATTTTAATATGATGATTCAAAAATACATTGTTATATATTAACGATTAATCGAGTTATTTGTATTAAATATTAACTGAAAAATAGGGGTGTGATATTGTACATACTTTCTGATCATAAGATTGTCTCAATTGGCTATCGGCAAGAGACGTTCAAGTCGACAGATAGGGCTGGCGTAGTTATGTCCAAAAAAACCCCAAAAGAAAAGCGTCTGTCAGCCAGCAGTTTGGTGCCAAAAAATAATGCTGAATCAGTTATTTGAGCTTATTTTAGGTATATCCGAACTCTGAGTGAGCCTTAAGACCTATTGCGTGCCTGTGAAAGATAGGCGAACAACAAAATCTATTTTCAGATGTTCAAATCCATAACCCCACCAAGACCACAAAACTGCCTCCAACCTGTCACCATTTGACTCTGGAAACAATCTCAGACTGCATTTTTTTATGCCTACCTCTAGTAGGCATCTGCTCTGGCATTACTTCTGTCGCAAATAGCAGTAAGACTTTCCCTAAGAATGAACATCAGCATCCTTAAGTGGACGGTGGTAATATTACTGTACTAAAATTGCTTTAGAGTGGAAGTTATTAATTAATCAGATGGAA